ATGTACAAGTTATGTCACAGTAACACAATAACAACTAATGCAAGTAAGCTAATAAAAAAAAGACTTACTAGTGTAATTGATATCCTCCACTGGATATCAAGCCGGCGCGTTCTTCTGAGGAAAATCCAAAGTTCTTTCTGTCTTATTCCTCTCAGCGCGTCTTCTTCCAGAAGCGAAGTAGCCGAGATGAACTTGAGGAAAAGTCTCGCTGCTTTGTTTGCTGTGATGTGGGCGTTTACATGCGCGCGTCTCACGTGGACGATTGTAAAATCAAAAGCGCGATCGCGCGTGGGCGTGATCTAATTAGAGATAATGAAGGCAGACGGCCAAGACTTGACATCGCGTTGGTTTCATACTGATTACTTTGGCACATAATATTTGTTTTTGGCATGACTTACTTCGTTTAAATGTAGACATGTCAAGCTTTCTATAGATATATCTCTCATGTGTGTGTGTCAAATATTTGGTGAGTTTCAGTTTCAATAGCAACTAATGCAAGTAGGCAAATAAAAAAAGACTTACTATATCCTCCACTGAATATCACGCTGGCGCGTTCTTCTGAGGAAAATCCAAAGTTCTTTCTGTCTTATTCCTCTCAGCGCGTCTTCTTCCAGAAGCGAAGTAGCCGAGATGAACTTGAGGAAAAGTCTCTCTGCTTTGTTTGCTGTGATGTGGGCGTTTACATGCCTGTTACATACATGTTTACATGACTATTGTAATATCAAAATATCAAAATATCGGCGCGTGGGCGTGATCTAATTAGAGATAATGAAGGCAGACGGCCAAGACTTGACATCGCGTTGGTTTCATACTGATTACTTTGGCACATAATATTTGTTTTTGGCATGACTTACTTCGTTTAAATGTAGACATGTCAAGCTTTCTATAGATATATCTCTCATGTGTGTGTGTCAAATATTTGCTGAGTTTCAGTTCATTTTAGTGAGGCATTTCAAAGAGATATGCGCGGAGAATGAGACGGCTAAAAGCACACCCTGTTCATTTTCTTTATTTTGCAAAAGCACAATGTTTTGTTGATATTGTGAGTGTACACAAATAAAAGTAGACCCTTTACAGATTTAAATGCTGTATTACTCTTATATGTACGATCACGTATGAAGGAGCATTTATGTTCTTTTCGCTGTTATAATTTAAATCTGCAAGTGGTGCCACCGGCGCCACCGTGGACCCCAGGAGGTTCCTGTCTGCATTCCCAACCAAGCACCGCTGAGTTACTTATTATAAATTAACTTTAATAAGTTTGGGATTATCAACCCAAATTGGCTCAAATCAACATCTCGATTACATATGTAACCCTCGTTCCCTTATGGAGGGAACAGAGACCTTATGTTGTGACGACATTAGGGGTCTTACTTGGGAGGCCCAATCAC